CCGGTCGGTGGGCAAGAATTTGCCGCCGCAATTCTCCACGACGGATTCTTCCTTTGCGAGTTCGAAGGATTTCACTGAATTTCCCAGTTTGATAAGAAACAAACCTCACAAGAGCATTGTCTGGGTGAGCGGCTCTGCTGAAGAGGATCTTGATCTTCTGCTGCTGAGATTTGCGTCTGAAGTGAGTGTAAATTGTTTAACTATTTGGTTATTGTGTTCGGGAACTTTGCCTTGACATTTTGAACAGAAATTTTACTATAACTGTAGAAGAGACATTTTACTATAACTGTACTGTCTCTTAGAGACAATTTTCTAGCTTTCCACTAGGTCGTTGTGAAACTTTCCTTCTAGGTTTTATAACTCGAAAACAAAAATAAAAGCCAGCATGTCCACAGTTTTTGTACATTTATTTCAAACAAAGAAAAACCATGCGAGACTTTTACAGAGCTTTTGTGGCTTTAGCATTTACATCTTTCACTGGGAAAATGTTTATTGATAACTAGATTGACGCATATAATGGTTATTTTTACTGTACTCTTGTATTGAACTCTCATGAAACTTCAACTTTTATTATTCTTTCCTCGTAAAAAAATTCTTAACACAAACAATGCACGTAATCCGTTTTGGTTATGTACAATACGTTATTAAAATAAAATGCTCTCGTCGCTACCAATAAATCTTTCCCTTCATTCACAATGCAGATCAGCAAGCTGAGCGGCGTGCGAATAATATCAGTAGGTGTCGGCATTTGCGGTGAATTTCAATCAGCAGCATCGCCGTCTCCGGTCATCCATCCTTATTATGACAATTTGGAGGTCGACGAGAATAGCAAACCTGTCAACCAGCACGACAACTTGGGCGCTCAAAACTCGAGTAAAAATGGTCGTCTTGATGCCTCGTGGGTCGTAGATGCTAATCAAACGGCCCTCGTGACTCCACGGTAAGGATTTTAAAAAAATTAGAATTTTTTCAAAATGTATCATTAATTTTTAGGCAGTAATGGGATTGCATTAATTTTTTATGCTTAAATATGATCGTTGCAGTTGATGAAGGGAACTGACAATTTTTTTCCAAAGCTTAGAACTGCAGGTTGGTTGCCTAACGAGGGTTGTTTGTCGAATGCCAAAGAGTAGCTTGCAAAACTTATATCCAAATATTTACGGGTGTACTTTTAAATTTTTATGTTGGCTAACAGGTTCGGATTCAATGTGGAAATTCGAATATTTTATGCGTTCCAAGGAAACATAAAAAAATTCACTTATCCCTGTGATAACACTAGCTTACAATCAAATGAATTGAGGAATGTTCCTTGAAAATTAAGAGAAATGCAAGTCCGGCTTTTCATTTAGTACGACATTCCGCTAATTTGAATGAGTCTCGAGGGTCATTTTATCAAAGGCCAAGTTTTCTAATTCGAATGAGAAACGTTTATCAATCACTGTTGTTCAGAATAGTTTTACTTAGATTATGAATTTATCTTGATACTAGTACAATACTTCGTTTAAACTCGTTTCTATTCTACCCGTAAATTGAAAACTAGCAAGTAGTAAAAAAGAAAAACGGATGAAAAATTTGATGAGGTGGTGGTGGCGGGTTATAGGTGCAGAGATGACCTCACTTCAGGCCAGCCGTTGCACCTGGACCTGGCAAAGGTTGATGAAGTTTCTAGATTGTTTTTCTTCACTTCACTTCATTTCTTCTGGTTCTTGTATAACATCCATGTCCACCATTGACGTGATTCTTCTCACGTTTTGTTGATCTACTTCTTTTCTTCAGTTTCATAGGGTCTCTAGCCGTAATTTGATGAGGATTCTTAATATCGCTCGTGCCATGTTTACTTTCATGAAAGTTTTGACACAATTTCATGTATACCAAAAACTTCATAAGGATATACTGAAAAAAGAAAGTGAAGATGTTTCAGGGAGTCTATGAGAGAATAAAGTAATTCGATCGAGTAACATTTTTTATTTCACCGTTGGCCAGTATCGTGCCTACGAGATCGTGCAGAGGAAGTGGAGGTCGTCGTGGCAGAGCGAGCTTTGCGCCCGTCGCGCTCGCCTCCACGGGACTTTGTCGGCCAAACCCTTGCAGAAACAAAGGCCGATGTGTTCTCACTCATCGAGGCTATAGGTGAGTTAGTACTTAAATTATTGCCTATAAAACATGTACGGGCATTAAGTTCAAGCCTTGGATAAGCTGGGGTTGATAGTGTTTTGGGCGAGCCGAAAAATAAGTAGTCACATCGAATGAAACGTTCTTTGCCTTGGTCAGAAATATGACTAAAGTAAGATTATTGACAAATTTTTGTAGGAAAATGCAGCAATAGCAGTACCAATAATTAATATAATCAAACATATGAGACATCGGGTACGAGATAAATGTAGTTAGCTCAATTATGGGCTAGCGCATTTTGAAGAACTTTAACGGAAAACATAGATACTCAGATACCACTCTATGGAAACTCCAAAAGTAACATGGATACAGCCCCAGATAATTCTGGTGCACCTACAAAATAGAACGCGGATCAAGTACATGATTATGGAGATTGTGCAGCGCGTAAGAAATAAAAAGCCGATCACAATCAGTGTCCTGACAAGTATACAAGAGAAAGAGCCAATAATTTTCAGGCCCTCTACATTTTGAAGGAAATAAATAATACAAAGCAGATAACTTTTTCTATGGGTGCAAAAACAGGCTAATCGATGTCAGAAATATGCTTAGTTCTGTATCACGTGGTGATAACAAGCACGTGGTACAGACCCATTTGTTCCGTATGTACCGACCCGATGTAGTCATCAAGAAGTGCTAAAAAGCGCAGTGTCTGTAGGTATAACAAATTTAAGACAGAACCAATATAACATCTTTCCGCTTGTCGACACATTAACAATCTTAACGATGCAAATCAAAAACAATGTCGCGGTAATACAAATGACGAGCCAAATATTTGGTTGCCTTAGTTTACACCAGACGAGATGTTTAAATTGAATACTGTTAAGGCTTCCTATTTGCGTCAAGATTCGTTTAAATCTTTGTGAATCTTTCTTCGTACTTCCCGAACATTTCTATTTTCATTGAAACATGTCAAAGAATTCGTGATCGTTGCGGCTTTAAAAATAAAAGCAATAGGAATAACAGAGTCACCATTCACCTGCAGATGTGTGTGCCCGTACGGAACGAACCCTCCTTTCTGCAAAATTTCCAGTCGTTATTTCCCAGAAAATGCGGACACGCGGGGCTGGCTATGGGTGAGCGGTCCAAGCAGCTCCTGTGTATCGGATGAAGTTTTGGATCGCGATACCGAGAAGCTAAAAACGAGAAGAAAAGAAAGAGAAAACGTAAAAAGTCTACACGGAAAACCTGAAGTACAAATGAGTGAATTTGCAGCACCGTGCCCTGGTCATATTTCTTTTGAATTCCGTACGAGGAAAAGTGACGGACTTCTTGTCTATGCTGGGCCACTTGGTGGCGATCGCTGGAGCCTCGGTGACACTCTAGACAAGGTAACATATGATAAATGAAAAATTAACTGAAAATAGGGCTTAAATACTTACTATCATGAATTTCTGAGCCGTTCTTGCGGGTGAGTTTCATGAATGAATCCTAATCAACTACAAACATTTTACTTGAACATTTACTAATACTTAGTTCAGAATTCCATAAACATGGAATTCCATAAACACTTAGGTATCCGAAAATTAGAGCACTGCATTTTGTTTTAAAATTTTCCTACGCATATTTCATTGGAAAAATCAGATTTAAGAGAAAAACTGACTTTATTCTATTTGCCATTACAACACTGGGCAAAAATAACCAAAAATGTGCAGATACATATATATTAGAAACCAATGGTTCATCTCAAAATTGTTGAAATCCAAGTTGAGAATCTTAAATTCATATATTTTGATCATGTTGTTTTCGACGAGTCTAACAATTCTAGGAGAAAAATGCGCGACCACGCAGTCCAAAATAACAGAGCAATGCTCTTGTGCCGCTGTCTCGCAGAGCGGAGTACTGAGTGCGGAGCTGAGGTCGGGACGGCTGCATCTGTTGTTCGCACAGGACGGACAGAAGCCGATAATTTTGACCACAAAATCAGACGAGCTCGCAAACTCAAAGTGGCATCGCGTCGACATCAGCTGGAATGAAATGGTGGGATGATGGGAGAGACGTTAAGGCTAAGAAAATTTCTTGCAGCCTCTAGGATTGGAATGAGTTTGCGTACACGTACAAAATTATTGAGGTGAAAATCATTTAACGCTGTCTCAATTTTTGCTTGAATAAAGTTTGTTTATCAATTTTTTGAAAGGATTTCAGGTAAGTTATATTTTTAATGGCGACTGTACATGAATCGGCTGTTAATTTGCTTCAGTAACTTTTTTTCAGGATGAAAATAAACCTTCGATACAATCAGTATACAACTTTTCTACAAAAAGTTACTTTTGTGTGCACTATTAATAATAATAATACGTTGATGGTGAACACAGATGACAACAATATATTTCTCAAGTTAATTACTTATCTAAAGGTAATCATAAATCTTCAACTTTGTTGGAATGAAATTCTATAAATAAATGAAATTAGATAAATATAAAGGGTAATTGCAGTAATAATTACTCTTAAAAGAGGTGATCGTACCGAGCTTGAAGTATACCAATATATTATGGCACTGCACTACAAAATTGCGCAAGGTTTTTATAAATGTATTTTTTGAAGTTCGAATTTTTGCCGTCAATGGTTTCTGCTACTGTGCCAATATCGGTTCACTCGAAACATCATCCCGTATTGCGCTCTACAAAAGAAAGAAAAACTCGAACGGTCTCCCTGATTTCCCTTCCCTCGGATGACAGGGAGTGGAGCTTCTCATCGATTTATGTCGCAGCCAAGACCGGTTTCTTTGCCACAATGCCTCGTATTTCGGTGACCTCTCCATCGACGAGACAGTCCTTTCTAAGAAAAATAAATTCCCATACAAGTTGGGTTCTACCTCAATGAATTCCAGCATGGCGCCAACTCTTCAACCGCAAAATAACAACACCCTGAAGCGACATGACGGTTCACCTGTTAGAAGCCCCAGCTTCATGAACGAAGACCGAGCCCACAAAAGTCAACCATATTTCAGTGGATATGAGGAGATTACTTTTGTGAGGAAACCATTCCCACCAAGTCCTTTACAAATCGGGGGCTTGGCGAGAAGTTTGCTCGGCACTCGACATGGAACACAAATAACCGAGGAACATTTTCAGGGCTGCATCCGCAACCTCCGCATCAACGGGGAGGTGCGTTGTGCTTCATCTTATCTTTATGATTTGGTTAGAAATCATCTTGAGCTAATTTAAACGGAAACCAATATATTCATGCATGTCGCACTATCAAATCACAACTACCTATTTGTATTTGAGGCATGTGATAGTTACAGTAATTTGATGCTCCATGGGTTTAGCAGTTCATGGTCGCATGAGAGCGTGCATGAGCTGCATTCATTCCTCGCACAACTTTTGCTGTCAGGGGAAACTTTTTATTAACTCTCCCCTTGTCAGCCATTCTCGCTGACATTCACAATAGCTCTGCGTGAGACATCAGCTTGCTTTTTACTAAGCAAATTTGCATGCGGCCTGCAGGTCCACACTTAACTTAAGCCACTAAAATATTTGTGGCTACTTAGTAGCCACAAATGCTTAAGTAGTATAGCGAGCTCTTAGGGATCATTTTTTTTGCAGTGGCTCATATTTTTTGCTCGAGTTTCCACATGTGAGTTTCATAAGAAGCCTGAACATAAAGACTCCTGAAACAGCACACAATTAATCCGCGCTGAAATGCTCAGGTATTTTTTAGGCTTGAAGAGGAAACGACGAAATACAATATTTTATTGTGGACAAGTTTATTCGTCATTTTAGTACGCTAACAAATATTCACCTGATTAAGTTGATAAAAAAATTGTGCTTCAAATTCATTTAGAGTATGAGGTTGTGCTTTTTGCCGGTAGCTATTGCTGCTCGCTTGCCCGCTTGTCAAAAATCTCCTTGTTACTTACTTTTAGCGTGAGTCCTCTTCTGCATCAAAAGTTTTTACCTCTAATTTTCTACTTAATTTTTTTTTGTAAATTACAATATGCCCATCAGCTGATATCTAGATATAATACACCACCCACAAATGAATTTTTTAGATATATCATAATTATACAGTAGAAGATTCTCGGCAATTCACGCGTTCTTCTTGCTTAGTTAGACTGGGGCAATACTTTACGAAGCTTACATTTCCCTTAATAAATTTATGGTCCTAATAAATGAATTTAAACGTGTTTCGTGAAACACTGCAACAATATAATGAAATCTGTTGCTAATCGCAAACAATTTTTCGTTGCCCTGTTGGCAGATCGCAGATCTGGGAGGAGGCTCGAGCGTGTCCCAGGACTGCTCACCAGGCTGTCCTGCCGCCGACCCATGCTCGTTACATGGCACCGCTTGCCCTCAACACTCGCGGTGAGACCGCTTCGACGTTTATTTAAATTATTTTTATTCAAATGTGTATAGTTAAAGTCCATGAGTAGTACGAAACAGGAAATAAATAGGGATACACATTGGGAAGAGGCAGTGGCGTCATGAATAGAAGAGAATATTAAGAATATTTTATGGGGCTTTAGCCCTTTAAGATATTCTTCAGCCTCCCTTAATAATTCATTTATTGATTTATTTATTATTCGTTGCTCATTTATTATAATTATCATTCAAAAACACAAAAATCAATATAATTAGACCTGAATATAAGCATGAAAGAATAATCATATAACCAGTCACTATCGTCTAGTGATGCCCCTGAAATGAGGTTATTTGTCATTATACGAATGTTAAGTCAACTTAAGTAGGCCCCCAAAAACGGTAGTTCGGCTGTAAATATTTATAACGGTCAGCAATAAACATATAAGGCTCCTGTAGGTCAAGGTGTAAGATATAAACAATTATAGCTGAGTGAACTAACTAAGGGAAGATCGGGCAATTTGCGGCAATATCTTCTAAGATGCGATTACTCTAAACAAGAAATTTCCATAATAAAAAATGTCCAAAAAATTTTGAGAGAGTTTTATTATTATAGTTTTTATTTCATTCTGCGGTTACATTCCCAGTGCCCTTCTATAGACGATAGATTATTATTTGACAGTCTACTCACCCTTACTCTACGGACTCCTTGCCTAATATTTAAGTAACTGGTGAAGTATATGTTTTTCGTGGGAATATTGTTTTCATTTAAAAGAAATAAGGATAATGTAAATAATCTGTACTCACCCCATCTAAGTGCAATGCTTAGAAGCAAGCTTATTATATTTTCGGTGATTATATACCTTCGGTAACAGTTTTAGCAATTTTTATGTAAACTTACTAAAATATATAAAATAAATTTCTCATGTCATGCTTGAAGCGTAAATTCGTTAATGTTGTCGTCCTGAATGAGCAAATTTTTTACTCATTTCGGGTTTTGAATAAATAGTTCGTTAATTTCTTTCGTTGAAAATAGTTCGTTTATTTCACCTATTGAACAAAAGAACACTTCTCGTTCAATGTCAGCCGTTTCTTTGCCCTTCTAATAGATACAGATGAAATGAATGAGTTTCCCATCACACAGTATTAAACAAATTATTTTGATACGTTATTCAGCTGCGAGAGCGGCGAGACCGAGACGCCGGTGTGTGGTTGCGACATAGGCCACGTAGGGGAAGGCTGTCGTAATGCGGCCGTCTCGGTAGCGCTGCTACCTGACAGCTTCGTCAAGCTGGCGCTCTCTGTCACTCCTCCTTCCCATCACACTGATCTCAAGCTCAGGCGAGTGCATGGTAGCCTGTCATTAAAATTTGGTAAAAAGGTAAAATTATCCGGCCAGCTTATTCACATATTTTCTTACTATGGCCGAATCGGGTTGACGCTTGTAAAACTAATAATAAAGATGAATTTGACAAAGGATTTAATAACTTAGCTATGAGCTCATTCTATTTTTTAGGCAATTTGTTGTAGCTAAGTATTCAACAATACATCTATTGTAACCAGGTTCATTGTTGAAGTTTTGATGTTATCCATATGCTTATTAGATTCAACAAACCATTCATTCCCATCACGAAAATATTTCAACTTCCTTGAAATTTGATTAGAATTTCGGAATCTTATGGTTGTATGAGCAAGTTTGTTTAGCTGATTATAAGCTGTCTTCTAGTCAGTCAGCTAATATTCTCAAAGCTTAAGTCGATGCTATTATTGGAAAATTAAACACCTGCTGAATTTAATATTCTCGAAATTATAATTTTTAATGGCCATTCGCTTGGTTTCTATTACGATATCTTTTTCGCTAGAACACAATAATTTCAGATCCAGAAAAGTTTTTTATTAGTTTTTACCCAGTCTGAAGCTTATCATCGAGCTGCTCATACTTAGCATAAAATTAAATGGCAATAAACTTATATGGGGCACATGCTATAATTTGTCTCTCTTTCTAAAAATATGATTGATGACATCATGTGTCTTTTCTCACTTTCTATTAGATTCCGAAGCTTGTCGCCATCAGGTGAGCTGGCAAGCCTAGCATCTCTACACCGACGTGATGTACTGCGACTGTACTTACAAGAGTCCCGCTTGTGTCTGGGCCTGACACTTGGTGCGGACACCGCTACAAGTTACGAGTCTCAAGTGTGCCTGACTCAAGTGCTGCTCAGTGACGGTGAATGGCATACAGTTACTGCTAACAGGTAACTTTGCTTGCTGCTAGGTAGGATTATAGCGCTATATAGGGTTATATTTGTAGGCATTTTCGATAGAATGTTTATTCAAAAGGAATATGTATAATAGTGTATGATGTTAGGCACTCTAATTTTATTGACGGGTAAACAGAAACTTTGCTGTCTGGTAGGTTGGGTTATATCTGTACGTATGTTCGACCGAACGTTTATTCATCAGGAATGTCTCTAGTATTGTAGGATGTTGCGCTTGTCTATGTTTATTGGAGGCTAAATTGGTAACTTTGCCTCCTGCTACGTTAGGATTATATTTGTGTGCATACTCAACCAAATGTTTATTCGAGAGGAAAATCTATAATATTGTATGATGTTTTGCATTCTAATTTTAAAGAAATTTATAACGAGCTAATTTTTACAGATTTTATATTTTTTTTACCAGGATCGGCAGGTTTACGGAGTTGATCGTGGATGAAGGAGATTTTGGGCTTTACAATAATTCATTTAGCACTACTTTCGATGGACGCAAGTTACAAAAAAATAATCACAAACCAAATGAACTGTTGCCTAACAATGAGCGCCATAACAGGGGCCTGAGGTCAACAAGACTTCGTGAATATTCAGACCGAAAAAAAGACTATAATCTTGCATCCGACTCACGAAAACATCGAAATTCTACGAATAAAAATTTAACCATTGAATTTCCTGAAGAAGCCCTGTCGTTATACGGAGTTTTTTCGACAAGTTCTATAAGTTCTCAAGCTCATGTTGTTAGGAAGCCCGCACTCAGCAAAAAGCATAATTTTTTGCCAAAGGTCAGCGACAGAATAAATAGGCGGGCTTTCCATTTTGACCAGACCATTAAAAAGTCTCTTGACGAGAAGAGTTTCCCTTACGAACAAGTTCTTCGGTCCAAAGTTTCGGTCAGTGAGATGACGAAGAACGCCTCCATTGTCTATTCTGGCGACGCGACCGCTCTACTTCAGCAGGCCACTGCAGAAAAATCCCAACAAAAACTGATTTACTTCGAACGATTTGAAGTGTCAGAAACTTCAGCTTCTCCCGTATCATTTGGCGATCATGAAATGAGTTTGAGGCAGAGTCGTCCAATTAGAATTTTGACCCGACCCGAACCACGCAATGTGCGAAGTCGCCAACGTCCAACACGAGTGAAAAGGAGCGAAAATAGCAGGTTAAAAACTGTCTCAAAACAAGTAGAGGGAAGTCCCGAGATGGACGAGAGTGATCAACATTTTGGCTGGTCTGGTGACTTTGAAGTTGACAGGCAAGAAGGTTTCTTAATTGGAGGCGTGCCGGTCTTTGACGGTGTCGATGCTTTCACAGTCGCGGAGGACCTTCATGCAGGTCAGTTTTTGCCAGAACGCATTTGTAAAGATGTTATAAAATCTAAACGAAAAGTTATACGTAACGATAAGGAATGATGCCCCAGACACGCAATAATAATGAGGGTTGTAATAAAAACTGGGATTATAATAGCAATAATAATAACAATTTCAATAATAATAATGATAATTGTAACAATAATGCAAGTAGTTTTGATTTTTAACGAATTGCACAGCTACACATATAATTTGATTTGTTAAAGCCTAAGTAAAATATGTACATGGGAGGAATATTGTAACGCCCTTTTGAATAAATTAATGCTCACACGGGAACGTTGTAGCAAATTAAATTAATATAGTTTAATATGTAATGCTCTAAATTAATTAGCAAAATAAGGAATTGAAAGTCTGTGAAACGCTGTGAAACATGACGGAAAATTATTTATTTGGTATTAAATAATTAATTACCTAATGAAGTGAATTGATGAAGTGTGAACGTTCGCATCGCAGCCTGCGTGTCCGACGTGCGCGCGTGGGGAGCGGCGCTGCCGCTGCCTCCTGCAGTCAACACGACGACTTCCGCACAGGTAATGATTATGTTCACATAATAATCATCATAATAATAATTATGTTTACATAATAAATTAATTGAGAAAGTAATCACTCCAACTCTAGTTGCATGCGTTCATTTGAAAGAAACTGGGAAATTAATAATTATTTTGTCTGAAAATGCAAACTACCATACATTTGCAAAGAAGAAAAGCGTTGCTTGATTATTTTGAGATTGGTGCCTTTTATATTCCTTTTTAAATGTTAAAAACCAAATTGACCTAATTAATTGAAAATAACTTTGAATCGGCCAGTTTTGAACTCCGTTTGTTTAACCTTCATGTTATGTGTAACTAAAGCTTGCCAAGTGACCTGAAAATGTCATAAGTTGCACTGAAACAGGAAATAACTGCAGATTGTTTTTATTTGGTCGTACTGCCCAAAACTATAGCATTTGAGTGATATTGAAATGTGCATCTCTAGATTATCATACTGGTACATAAAATAGAAATAAATTTGCGTTGACCTTCGTTGCGAAAGTTTTGTTTTCCCACAGTATGACACCTGCTATCTATCATACGAAGCATTGCCTTTGTCTTTAACTATTACAATCGTGTTAATTCAATTGCGTATCTTCTTATACTATTTGCATTCGATTATCTGTGATAGTTCTCAAAGCGAAATATTCGTTTAACGCCCTCTTAGGTGATTGCGTTCGCTAACGTGGCGGAGTCGTGCGTCGAGACTCGGTGCTCCAACACCTCGTGCGAGGCGCCCTTGTTCTGCAGCGACTTCTGGAGGCCAATGTCTTGCTCGTAAGTCACCTGAAATAAAACAATACTGAATCTTTTTTATTTACGTTCTATTTAATTTTACCGATAGATGATTTCTAAAATAATTGAAAAACTATTGATTATACATTGAAAATGTATCTATTTATTAGAAGAGTTCAATATATGAAAGCCATTCTAAAAATTATTGAATTTAAAAAAAGCATGATAGCCATTTTTCGGTTAAAAGGACAAAGTTAAAAAAAATAATTGCATTCAATTAATTTACATTCTTGTTTCCTCTTTAGGACATTTATTCAGGAAATAATCCATGTCTAAAAACATTTTTTTTAATCAATGATGCTTCATTGAACTGAGGCTGCAACTTCTTGGGGGCTTATTAAGTTTGTTTGTGCCTTTTCCTGCCGTGCAGGTGCCACTTCTCTACGTCCGCTGACACAAAAAATATTTTTTAAAGCAGTTTTATTACCCAAGTTAATGCTTTTTCATTTAGCTGGGGAGCAGTTGTCACTCTTCAACATCCGCGGCCAGAGAAATTTTTATATTACTCTAGTTGATGATATTCTTTGCCTTTGAAAGCAGGTGTCGCTCTCCTACGTCCGCCGCCATTGAGAATCTTTCTGGTACAGTTCTTTCATCCAAGGTAATGCTATTTATTCAGGCCTTCAAAGAGGAGACATTTTTCTTCTACGTCCGCTGCTACAGAATATTTCTCGTTCACAGTTCTATTACCCCATACAGTTGATGCATTTTTTGTCCTCAGTAGCAGGTATCGCTCTTCTTCGACCATCGCCATTGAGAATCTATTTTGCTTACTCAGTTTTTATTACTCCAGTTAATTCTGTTTCTATAACCATGAAAACCGTCTTTTCTCTTCTACGTGCCACAGAAAATCTCTTTTGCACAGTTATTTTACTCCCATTGATTCTGTTTCTTTGTGGTTGGGAACAGGTGTCCACCGGGTCTGCTGTTATCGGGCAACAGGTGCGAGCCTCTGGACGAGTGTGCGTGGCAGCCGTGCCTCAACAGCGGCGTGTGCGAGGACCTGCCATCAGGCTACCGCTGCTCGTGCCCACCTCAATACACAGGTTACAGATATCCAGAACTCAGCTGATGATTAAATTTGAAGGTTTTACGTTGAATAGGCCCTATTTGCAATTTTAATTTCAGCGTATAAAATTTACCGGGATCTGGCTAACAATTTCATTGTCATTGATTTTCTAACATGAGCGAGTAGTAATTCATCGTCTTGAGTACTATTTGATCACGAAGAATTCAAGTTTCTCCACGAAATTATAAAAAACTTTATTTACAAATAATCTATATTTTATAGATATTTATATACAAACTATGCATTTAAAATATCTATATTTGAGATACGTAAAACTGGCCCTCAATCGAACACAAGAATGCTTTGTATAATGCCTGCACCAACCTACAAGCAAACAAACAAGGAAACACGCTCAAGTAAGAACACAATTACATAATTTCTTCCTACGTTAGACTTGTAACGCATTTAGAAAATATACAAGCATGGAAACGTCTGCGAGTATGACGAAATAATTTTCGTCAGCAGTAGAGATCGCAAGACGGAGTCCTGGGCTCGTGATTTACTGCCGGCCAGTGGCGCCATCTGCAGGACGTCTGCTGCTGCTATTGCCTTCTTGGGGTTGCCAGAAAACTTAATTATTTCTCCTAGTACGGCATGAGTCCAGCTAGTCAGAGAGGGACCCTGGCTCATTGCATCCACGTACATGGCAAGGAATGTCTCTGTTGGAGATCTGCTCAATTGGCTGCAGTGTGATGAAAGATGCGACTTATGCTGAAGACAGCCTCACTGTTGTGCGCGCTCCAGTTATCTGTATTATTTTCTGATGGGCATGCAAGGGAAACTTAACTTCAGACAGAAACATGGTTGTTTCTTTTCGTTAGTCAGATATCATTGTTCAATGACACATGGTAAGGTTTTATCAGTAAATTCAGAATGAGTGAAAAACTGCGATAAAACGGCGGGAACATGTTTTGTCACTAACAATGTCAGTTATCTTCTACAAATGTAAAATTTTCTTTTTTTCGATTTGTAATTCAAACTGGACGAAAATAGTGATGATGCGGGACATTAATTTATGTTCAACCAATATAGCATTGGAAAGTTGCAGGCTGAAATCATCTTCGGCCACTCGGAATTGTCACGTTTTACGCTTTTGCCATCAAATATCCCACGTTCACATCGCTCCTGGATCTTTAAGCAACATAACCACATGGCTACTTTATTTGCCGTTTTCCAGACAATAATTACATTATTTTTATCATCCGGCACTTTTTTACAAAATAATTTTGGTTTGTGCAGCTTTGCTCATTTAACTGAATCTCTCAATTAATACTCTCTCTAGAATATTCCTCTAATAGGCTCAGATCAGCCACTATAATGAAAACAAAATATTTCACTTCAATGAGTATGAATAATTTCATTTTTACCTAAAGCAGTTCAAAAATGCAATTACCAACTCGTGTGATTAGAGACCAGATTTTTTTAAACAAAATCATTTACACGTTCGGAAATCTTTCCTTTAGGGGATTTTCTCAACACTGGCAACCCACACATACTAATGCCAATTAAGTAATACTATAATTAGTAGAAATCATGCGTGTAACAACGTGTTCGATCAGTTACTAAACTTTTTACAATAAAAACTTTCATAGTCAAGTAACAGCTTCGGCTAACAAAAATCACACTGTACCGCCGTATATGTATTACATTTTGAACTGATCTAACATAGTTTTCAAGGCATGCAAGTAACAGAAACGTTCCAGTGTACGTTTCCTTTATTTGGTTTGTATTAAATTCTGATCCTTAAATCTAAATATAGAGTTCTCCATTGTTGGAGAATTTCTGCAAGTAATAACAGCAAGACTCGCATGTTAGTCTAGCCTAAAGAGCAGTAAATTGCCGTTGGTTCAGCGCTCTATTTAAACTGGCGTCGTAATACAGAGGTCTCCGTAATTACGCTACCGCCAGCTTCGCACTTTAGGGGGACGCTACTCTACTTTATTTACCATTAAATGCAAGGCTTGGCAGCGCTGTTGAACTAAAAGCGGAAATGACGGTGATTTGTATCTATTTAATTCTGTGGACTCTGCTAATTGTCATTCAGCGGAGCTTTCACTACTTTTCTTTTTAAATTAATTTGCCATTATTTATTTGATATTAAAAATCTGGTTTTTATCAATCTGATGGCGATCGTATTTCGCTAGTGACAAGGAGTTGTCAATGTTAAAAATTGCATTATTTATATAATTAAGCCAAGGCATGACCTTGCGAAGTTGTTCTTCACTTTAATCCAAACTATGATAATTTTATTCCACGAAGTTTTGATTAAATCATTTTAAGTCAAAATCTTTCAGGTTTTCAGACAAACATAATTTGATTTATTCTCAAATGCAGAACGCCCTTTCAGAAAATTATTCCTAATAATCGAGAGTAATGCAATTATTCTTACCGAATTGAAACAACTATTATTCTCAGAAACAACTAGCGATATACTAATGACTATAGCTCTGAGTGATTTTTATTCTTTGTTCAAAATTCTTAACTCTTCTTGTTAGGTTATCCCTTAACACAAATTCATGTTTACTGTCAAGTTGGTGCAATCTAAAAATCGAAATTATCGTTCTGTCAAACTTTCGCTTCAGACGCATTAATGTTTCCCGCATAATGAAATGCGTGGGTTGTTATGCATACAAACGTCGCAAACTTCACCCCCGACGAACAGTTAACATTATAACGTGGGCAGGCGAGCACTGCGAGCGCCTGTTGCCTGATCCCGAGCCCGACCTGAGCTACGCGGTTGGCACGGCTGCTGCCGTCGTCGCCTGGCTGCTCCTGCTAGTTGGTCAGCTCGGTTTTATGTGTGATAATATGTAGTGTGTGTGAATATTTATATAGGTGGGTAGAATCTGGTCTTTAATGCAAGTTTAGTTGAAGACCCGAGAGTATAAGAGTAAGACCAGCATAGTCGGAACGTCATATAAATTATTATAATAAATATCACATGGAAAGGGGAAACCGTGAAATTTGAACTTTCAAATCCTGCCATAAGCTTGGTTTGCTGAATTGAGAAAGCAATAAGAATATTTTCAAAAATAAATACTCTCTGGTCTTCGAAAAAATGTGCATTAGATAATATGTAAAATCATGAAATATCTGCCTATATCATTATTTTGTGTAGAGATGTTTTAAATGAATTTCTTTAATTAAATCTACATATATTTTTTGCAGTTTTCGCGGTTGTTTGCATATTGCGTGGGAGGTGGCGTCATCACCGACGTCGTCGCGCGTCTAAACGCTCGTCAGTGCCTGATGTCACGCCGTACACATCACACAGTCTTTTTGGTGCTGTAAACCCCGTTATAAATAACGCTGCTGAGCCCTTTCCAACGTGTTCTAGAAATGCCAGGGATGAGCTTGAATTGGAATCAGGTGAGGAGAAAATGCAACAACGCTCCAATAATTTATTTAGCATTTATTTGTAGAGCAAAATTATCCACCTGTATTTGAGGAAAAATTCACAATTTTCATTAAGAAGAGATTTTCTCGATTACTTGAGTTTTCTTTAACTAAAATTGCAATTTGCCTCTTAAAGCTTAACTTTGAAAATTTAACAGTAAATAACAAAATGGACATTGATGCAAATTGAATATAATTTTTCACGATTGTATTTAAATAAAATAAAGATGTTGTTGACGATGAGTCCTAGGACATTGTAGGTGGTAATTTCTCCCACAGGAAAATCAGCGCGCTGGAAAGGCAAGCCAAAATGGCTTCGCGGCTGGGGGACTGAACCCTCGACTAGTGTATCTACTGACCTCAGATCTGCCTCCTGTGTTTACGATGCTGCTTCTCCTGGCAGTTCCGTGCGAAGAAAAGTAATTTGTGCTAAGATCTCCAAATCATCACAAAGTAAAAAATCTGGTAAAGGATCGGGCCAAGACTCGTCTTGTTACACCATCAATGATGATCACATGCACACGACTGCATTGAATATTCACCTGCCTCACTGCGCTGTTCACTCACAGCAAGCGTTCGAGGAGCTCAGTTTGAATGTGGCAACCGTAGAAGAACAGAAAATTGGTGTAAACAAATTAGCGAGAGCAAGATCAAATGTGGGCGAGAAGAACTCGAACCAAGTTGAAGTTTTAAGTTATACGAATACAAGCGTCCCTAAAAATAAGTGTATTACAAGCCATGATTCAGTTGTGGCGTGCGGCAATCAAGATGCGAGTCACATAAAAAACCACCAGAAGCCAACAAGAAGTCAAAAAATCTGCGGCTTTCAAATTTTGCCGTCTGCGGACGACCTCAGAAATTATGCATATGAAGGCGAAGGAAGCTCCCCAGGGTCGCTTTCGTCGTGCTGTTCAGGTGATTATTGATACAAATGCTTTTTCTTTAATCCATAATTGTACTTGAACTACAAACAAAATATTTTTAACAGTTTTCAATTTTGCCATGCCTTAACTATGAATAAAATGAATGTAAGGTTTTCATCTAGTATAAGTTGTTGTAATATGGCGTTTTCTTCTAAAACCAACGTCACCGTTCACTTTCATTCTGAATTGTATATCTGAGAGTTATTCTGTAAGACATTAATTATTGTTCGGTTGTACACACATGGTTAGACTCAGAAAGTGCAAGATGCCTTATAAAGAACCTCCGGCGGCCACATCTTGCTGCTCTTTTGGTTGAAACAATAAACATGTCCATAATGGCTGATGATAACTCGTAATGCTCTTCCCTTTCCGTGTTCAAGGTCCGGATCCTTCATCGAGCAAGACTTCATCACTGATGGGAGGCTTTCAGGAAGTTGCTGTGCTTCTCAATTGCCTCAATAATTCGGCAACGGAAAGAAATCAAGAGAAAATCGTGCAAAATATTCCTTCGCAAGAAGTCCCAGGTGAGAAAAGAGCCGCAGTATTGCGCCGCTCTATCGGAAGCATCTTCGAGTCTGGAAGTCAGATGAAGGAAAAGTCTTCGTGTTGGAGGGATGAAACAGACTTCATTGAAACTAGTGATAAAAATCTCAACAATTCACAGACTTGCGACGTGAAGGATCATCCGACGAGGAACACTTTTTTCCCGTTAGTTTCAGCGAAGCTAAAATGCACCAAAAACTCGTCTTTGTTTACCAATTCCGAAAGTGAAATAAAATTTCATGATAAAGAATTTGAAATGTCGAAATTAACATCATCTGAGATTTCATGCAAGAGTCCAACAAGTAATTCAAATGTATCTTATTTCTCGCTGCCGCGTAGAAGAAATTCCTCGACCTCTGAAAAAATGTCTGACGAGTTTTCATGTTCTTTTGTCGCATTGCCAGCGTCTCATCACGGGTCTTTGCAACGACCGCGACGGTCAAAAACTAGAAATCTTGTTGACTACGACGATCATTTGTGTGCCACTGAGGTGCCATCTCAGAATAGCCCTAAACCAGGCAAGTCTTTACTGCTGTGCCCACAAGAACAGTCTACGTGGACCTCACAACAACGACACTTTAGTGACACTTCGACACATCCTCCTCCGCCGCCGCTGTTGTATCGAGACCACGTTACATCGAGCGAGAACTCCATATCTTGTCTGAAAGACACCAAGCAACATTGAAATAAAGTCTTTCGAGATCCTAATTTTGCATCTAAACATCGATAGATTTGAAATAGTCTGATATTTTAAAGATAATATCAAATTTGATCGGCATTTGAGTGGAGTGAAAATATTTATTTCTGAAATTTGATTTGTTGGCAATGAGTTTGCAACAGCGAAATTCTTGTGGCGTGATATTATAAATGACTATCAGTACAATCGTAGCCTAATTACTGTTGTCTTCGAGTACTTCAGTCATATAAATAAATATTTTCCAGATAAGTGTAAAATCATTAAAACGTACTAGTAGTAGCTTTACATAATGCTATTTCATGAGTAACATGTACTCAGACTACAAAAAGTAGCAGTTTTGAGGTGCCGCCAGCTTGCTTAGAGGTGTTGAAACAACTCAGGAATAACATTTCAGGTGAACTATTATACCAAGGTAAACTTCGGAATGGTAAAATCTAGCTAATGAGATAATTGTATAACACATGGCATGAATGAATGTGTGGCATATTTATTATTGTATTTTCATGAGATCAATTTATGAAGTAAGCGATCAATGTATTATGCATGAAATCAACGTATGATGCATGGGATAAATGTATGAAGCATGGGATTAATTTATGTAGCGTGAAATCAATGTATGATGCATAGGATGAATGAATGAAGCATATTATCAATGTATGATGTATGAGATCAATTTATGGTGAATGAGATCATTGTATGATGCATGTGATCAACGCGGGATGTATGGGATCAATGTATGATGATTGAGATCTACGGATGATGTATGCGATCGACAGCGCATGATGTATGAGATCTATGCATATTGTATGACATCAATGTATGTTATACAACATGAGTGTATATGAGTGATCTGTGTATAATTCATGTAAGCAATTCGTGATATGTGCAATCAATGCATTGTGTAACTTCGAAGTTAATATCTGAAAGGAATTTTAAATAAACGCATTAATGCAAAAATAAATCTACGGTTGATAAATAGCATATCAACAAGCCATTGCCACGCAATAAGTGACTGAGGATGTCAAACGTTAATATATGTTTCTACAGATGTGTTCACCGATGTTCATTTGTCTTTGGACGTGCTCGCAAATTGCTTTACTTTCGCCCGAAGGCTACAGTACTGCGTCTATTGCTATAGTGCTTGGCATTAAAGTTGACATTAATATGGAAATAGATTATTCTTAAATTCCATTACAAGTTACTTCAATATTTCAGCAGCTTGGCGGCACCTCAGGACATTGTTCAAATGACAAAACTAAAAACTCATTTAGTATTACCTAACCTGGAATAGGAGAATTGTTATTGGAACACATTCTAAGGGAGAATTTTTTTCGCTCCTTCCCAGTAATCATTTTTTAATCAGGGATAAGTCCTTCCTAGTGATCCTTTTTCAGTGGCAATCTTCATTGTTTAAACATAATTATAAAAAATCTTCAATTCAAGTCAAATCGTTTGACATCAATAGGTTTCCCTATTCAGGGGCCATAACTTGATGTTCCGCAATGAGACGAGTGACGTAAACCGTGTGACAACTAGACGTTCTCTAATGCTATAATAGTTAAATGCTAACTACATTAGCCTACTATATTTTTAACGACGTATTTACACCAGTGTATTCTACGTACAGGACTGTGCGAAAAAAAAACAGTTTTGCACTTTTAAATACTGCATATCTGTGTAAATCTATGCTGAGAACTCGATTGGTAAACTTGAGCCAATGATGTTAATTAGTGAAATTCAAACTTGGATGTCTGAACGGGTGCATCGATTAAAACTGTTTAAATAATGAAGTTTCATTTTACCATCACTACAGTTTTATGTCATCCGCAATAGAACTTATTTGAGAGTAATGCGCGACGAGAAAACGCCCATACACCCAATTTCACTGATTCTTGGACGACTAGATTAGTCTTTGTTATTGTTTTATATTGCTCTTCTATTTATTTATTCAGTAGAAAATTATTAATACTTGATTTATTGGCTTCTACTCAAGCCAAAACATGGATATCCACGCACCCACGCTAAATTACGTTCATCAAAAAGCGCATATTTCACAGTCGCGCACACTTCTCTAAGCTCCTTTCTCTGAACATTCAAGGTGCAGTAACAAGGGCCTGGAACAAACTCCCCGTCGGATTACCCGCCATGATCCCAATTAACGGCAAAGGGAGGCTCGATACACCCCAAAGACAGACAGCACGACACTGACTTCCAATTGTTCCAAACTAAACAAGCACGGTTTAAACGATTCTAGCCGCTAGCTTCTGGATCCCAACGAGGTCTGCTAAGCTCTATCTCGACCAAGCCTCCCAGGTGGAAGAGGAAAGCCTATCGAAGAAAACTATGGTTATGATCTCTGCATTAGTCTGCTGATATTAAAGGCTTCCGGCAGAAACTTGTGCCGTAAGTTTTCTCAGCTCCTACTGCGTGTGCCGGAGGCTTAAATGACGACAATCGACACTCGTAGATTCGATTGTAATAGTTTTAATTGAAGTTTATGGTAATGATTTGACGTGAATGTTGAAAGCAAAACTTGAAACCAGCTGTAAGCTGGTATATTAAAATATTAAAGAGTAAATTCTTCAATTTCGCTAAGCTGCTTATTTACAAACGAAATGTAGAACCAATAGCAAGTAAAATTGAACATTTAGTGATTCAAACATGCGTGCTTTGACAGCTAGCTTGGAATTACGCCAAAATGGAGGGACTTCTATCGCTTTATTCCATAGGCACTTGTCATTCAAGGCATCGTAGTCCTCGTCAATGGCGGCACTTACAGCATCGGTGGTGCGCGCTGTCCACTTGTGACACCGAGCGCAGCTACTCAAAACAACGCCATTCACACCCATGAAAAGGTAATTCAGCATTATGTTGTTCTTCTTTGCAACAGAGGCGTAAAAATTCCATTTCCAAAGATTCAAAACATTCATCGGTTCACTTGAATCAAGGACTGATTCCTTGACAATTCCATCAATTTATCGGTTTTAATTTTACATACATTTTTCCAAATTCTCCATATTCATATATTAGAAGATTTTTATTAAATGCGGTAATCACATAGAAAATACTATGGCCATCATAAATATAAATTGATTCTTTATCCAACAATAAAAATTTCTACATCTTACGTGATTCTCGCGAAATAGGTTCTCCATTTCGGAGCTGCAATTAAACACATTATTAAGATTCGACATTTCATAGCTCACTGCCTATGTTCTGAAATAAATTGGTTTCAGATAGTGCCAAATTGCCACGTGCCAAAATAGTTTCAGATTCTGAAGCCAAGTTGAGCTTTCTGAAGCCCTACTCGCTCATTGGTATGACCTGAAACTCTTACCATTAAAACGTTTAATCTTTGGGGAAAATTAATACCGTTATAACTTCCTTGAAAGGCGTTCATTTCGGTTATAGTAAATACTCCATATGCAAAATTTAAATAATCCGTATTAAAATTTAACTAATTCGTCAAAAATTTCACAAATGCGTTAGCCGATGTCTCACGTTTTTAGTATCGACTCAGATGCAGGGCGTATTCTGCTTCCACAATCGTCGAAAGGTGCTTTTAAATTAATTCTATATGGGTGAGAAAAATGCCGTGTGTGGATTGAGAAAGCGTTTTAATGCTTTTCGTAATATTCTTATGACAGCACAGCTGAGTTTTAATGGTACATTTCCTTGGAGGTTGATTTCAGATGATGATAACAGTCATTTGAAGCAGCGATCGGACGATGTAAGGATTGAAGTTTAAATACACCAGCTACAATATTTTTTCCTCTTTCTGTTTAGCAATTTTACTGCTGAGATTTATTAAGAACAACTCGAATGTAATAGATGAGTGTTAATTCCCTCTTCTTTACCATGCTAACTTGGAACATGGATGCTCGTTTCAATCGAATTAGAACACAGTAGCAAAAAATGACATTTAAATTTTTTGGCCGACTCCCTGCAAAAACTCATAGACCATTTGCTGGAGGTGTTCTGTAATTCGTAAATAAAGAAGTTAATTTATGAAAATTTTATTCCGAAATTTTGCCAATCAACTGCTTATCTGAAATTTCTAGCTCAGAATAGGTGTGAAACCTAATTGTACAACTAATATAGAATTTTTCCGGTTCGAAAAAGATATTGAGCGATAAAATACATAAGCTCGTATCGAAAAATGTTTGTTTAAATTATTCACAACTGCTTGAAATGCGTTTTAGGATAACTCCCAAATTCAGCTTGATCAATTGTTTTTTTTATTTTTTTATTTTCCCGTCTGATATTTTTTATATATTAGCTCAAAGCTGTACGGCAAACATCAGCCTCACGTACGCCGCGGACTTATTTTATCGTGTCAAGTTCGGTCAAGAGATATCATGTCATTGGAAGCTGATGTGAATCACAATAATAATGTCGTTGACTCTAATCGCTAAAAAGAGTAATCATTTTCTACCGATTGTCGTATAATAAACGAAAACAGAATGCGGAAGATTATTCAATCATGACTTTAGTTCAATTGACGGCTATTTCAATTGACGGCTATGCTAATCACTCACCAGCGATAACCGACTTTTTAAGTGTAATTAACATAATTTAACATTATCTTACACGAAGATATGAGCTTCAATGTAATTCTTAATACCTGGAATGAACTCTAATATCATTAGAGGTAAAGAAACTGTATTACTGAGTCAATTACGGAGTAATGAAGAATTATGGTATTACTTCCTTCGAATTTCGAGTCAATATTAGTCAGAGAATCGACACCACTGCAAGATGAAGTAACGAGTATCACGCAAGTTCTCACAAGTGCTACGTAAAATACGACCAGAATAAATCCTCTAATTTGTCACTCAACTTCCAGGATTAGCCAGACAAACTTGGCTTTCATCGTGTGCTCAGCCATCACACGTGCAGGCGCTGCGAGTGTGATTACATTTCTATGTAACCCAGAGCTATGGCATGTAATTCAGGCAATTATAACGTCTCTCATTATATTAAAAAGATCAAGGTATACTGGTCCTTTTCGCTGTAATAAAATGTTTGAAAGTTTCATTGTAACTCCAGTAGCATTATTCATGTACGTATGTTCAGAGACTTGTCTTCTGAAAGGCAAGTTTCCTTAACTGATTTTACCTATTATATTTATTAGTAAATTTTTTTCTAAAATGAAAAAAAAATTACTTTAAATTACACAAGATCTTCACACATGCATTCAATTTCACTTTCAGTCCGTTCATGTGCTCTATCGGATGTTTGTTTCGACCACAAGATCTTAGGTTCAATTTCTGGATCTTGTACTTCTCCTCCTGAGCTGTAGCAGCAATTAATCATAAGCGTTTTGCAGTCTTTTGATATGTCGCTGCGAAAACGAACTGCATGAACATGAGAGTCTAGCCTGAGGCTGACACTGATGATTTAAATCTGAATGATATTTTTTCAGTCAAAACTTGTTCCTTATTGTGCTTGTGGGAGTATGTAGTAAACTTAATTCTTAAATAACATAATACGCAAAAATCAAATAGTGATATTTTGAAAATTACAGTGAAATCGTAGCTATGAGTTGAAGACCTTTAAATCTACTATACCTTGTTTTATCATGACAGAGGAAAAGTTTGAGAGTCGAGATATTTTTCCCATTATATAATATTTTGTTCATTTATATTCTATTCGTGATAACATAGGTGGTTATATTTTTGCAAAATAGTTATTACATAATAGATTATACATTATTAAATATATTTTGATTAATTAGTTAAAAGTAATGAACAAATATAATCAACAAAAATTTCCCTTGAAATAAACCCCTTTTAGCGCATTTTCTCATTTATAGAAAAAATGCACTATTGTGCTCGCCATGTCCGTCTGTCTGTCTGTCTGTCCGTCCGTCTGTCCGTTCGTCTGTCCGTGACCTCAAGTTTTCGTCGACGAGAAAATGCGCTCTCTGTCACTCACTGCAGTGAGTACTGAGTTAAATTTTTTAAATTTCCAAAAGATACCATTGCTGCCAGTGAACAATTCCTTGTTGCGTTTAGTTGCAGCGCACGTCTGCTGTAAGTATTCCAGCGACTCAGATTTGCAGGACAGGAATAGCGGCAGGGAAATTAAAGGGACCAGCAGCCGTTAATTAAATGTTATAAATTGTTCGCTATTTTGAGCCCAGACCTCGCCGACGTTATTAAGTTCTATCTACGGATGTCATTACAACCACGCTCACCACCACAGAAGTTAAGATGGAACAGTTGAGAAGATAACAATACTGGCTTAAAGTGCTCGACCAAAATCACATTTTTACTTCATGATTGTCTTTTGCTTCGAAAAATATAATTCCTTATCATTTCATTCTAATTATTCCGCTGGGTTTGCATAAAAACTTAATCCAGACGGACCAGACGCCTAGTTTCATTCACAAACTATACATGGTTTCTTGTTTCTAGCATTCATCTACATTTTTAGTGTAGTCTGCAGGTTACACTGCAGGTGTAATCATTACAAATAATTATTTTCAATAACAGTATCGTCTAAACTTTCACACTGAACTCTACAGTGAATTCATGTTGATTGGACTACCCATTAATAGGCCAGTCGCTAATTTTGACACAAAAATCAAGTCTCAGGAAATGATTTAAGTCAAGTATTATTTGCTTTCATGGACCAAAATTCAGTCTCATCGAACCAAAAAGTGTGAGGTTTTTCAGGAAACTCGATCACCGATGAAGAGTGGATGTGAGCTTAATCACCAGCCTGTGAAAAGACAGGCTTAAGCATCTGATTC